TGCCATCCACTAATGTACTCAGGTGTTAGGGCCACAGCTGAATGGAGTAAGTCCACCACGACTTTCCATCTGCCTTGACATTCTGTGTATTTTGCCAATTTTTCACGCAGGGTCCTACCAGTGGCAGAGCACTTCCCTTTCAAATCCCTTGTAGGCCCAGAACTGGGCGACCTCTCTGGGCGGAGGTCTACGTACGGGCTTGTCCATATTCATAAGGAGTTACAGTTGAAAGGAGGGCAACACACTGATTGTTTTCTGCCCTCTTCTGCTCTTTGGAAAGGGAAATGAGATTCCTTTCTTTGCTTTACTGTGACAAATAAGATCGTTTCAATGAACTTAGTACACAAAATAATTTACACACTTGGTTTTGACTGTGTCTCATTTTGGGCACACCAACTTCAGCCAACTTCATTGCTTCTCTTCAGCTGTATTAAGACAACACCAACAAGCAAACAAAAGCAACAGCAAAAAACTCGATAGGAGGTTTTAAGTCAATCGCTAAGCAGTTACCAAATGCTACCTGCTGCTCTCTATTATCAAGGCAGCTGTGCTGGGGGCTTTTTGCACCCTGTCAATTTGGGAGCCACCCTCTGAACCATGGGCCTCATCACAGCGCGTCATCTCATTCTTTAACTTCTGACCCAAAAAATAAATAAGTGGACGGTTAAAAGGTTAGACAAAGCAGCTCATTAAAAATTTTTTTTGTAAGGGGAACATAGCTCTGAGGTGTAGGATCATCAGTGCTTCCCAGAAACCGAAACAGAAACTGAACAAAACCTGATTCTGGGTAACACTAGTCCTGAGTACTGGGCCTGCGTTTCCCAAATTCAGCAGCTCATGTAGTTTCATTTCCTGGCAGTTCAACTTGGTTAAAACAAAACTTGGTAAGCACTGGGACGCTGGTCCCTAACATTTCCAAATGTGCGTTACACGGTGTGTAATGCTACTTCCTCTCAAAGCAGCTAAAAAAAGTTTCCCCCAGATAAATAGCTCTCTAAGGCCCAATTGAGAAAGAAAGGAAAAACTAAGCTTGTATGTATAATCGTGCTTGGATACAAAGGGAAGATGCCTATTTCAGGAAAATTCCTGCATGTCTGGAAGAGAAGGTGTGTGCAGGGGTGTGGTCTGGGCTCTACCCCACACCCCTGCCTCTCCTGCCAGCATCCTCCTTAGCACTTCAGCAGGACTCACCTTTGGCAGGAAATTTGTGATGCTTCCTGCCAGAATTTGTAAAAGGTAGACGCAAAGAAACTTTTCTTATAATCCTGCAGCAGCGCTGCTCCCCCTGACCCTTGCCCTCCAAAGAAGAGAAGAATTAAGGGAAGCCCCAGAAAGGACTTGCAAGATGAAGGTCATAGGCCCTTTCTCGAAAGTATGCAGTACATCTGATGACAGAGGGGTCAGGTATGTCAGCAAGATAATGGTCACTTGCTTGTAAATGTTATGAACAATTTTGAGAACAGAAGGATCGCTCACCACCATCTCTCCGGACCCTGTTTTTTCTAGTGGAATATGGGGCCAACCTAAGTTTGGCAAGAATAGAGAATTCTCTTGATCTAACGAACATGGTTTTATCATTTGTGTTTTCAGTGGGAGGGCACAGTGCAAATGTAAAGACTGTAATTTGCAGTGCTAATTGAGATAGCAGTAATTAAAGGTTCTGCTCTACTGAGCAGGTGAGTCCAGCCATGGAAATCCAAACCAAAAGGAATCTTGACTGTCTGCAAAGGTTCTTTTTGGAGGCTTTGGGGGTGGGAGTAAGTGGTGGAGAGGAGGCAGAAAAGAAGGGGTGCCGCATCTGTGAAGGATCAGAGCAGTGTGGACACTCTACGTACTCTGGCATCCTTCTGGGGCCCAGTTTCTGGAGCAAGGCTCCAAAAAAACAATGCAGACAAGAACACCAAGCCCCCAAAGTCAATGGCCCAGCAGAACCAGTGGTTCTCCCACCCACTCACTCCTTTTGCCTATCAGCAGTGGGCTCTCCATCTAGATCTAGAAACGGCAGGCAGTCCTCAGCCTACTACATGCAGCAAGACTGGGGCCAAGATGGCTACAGGCAGAATCTGGCTGCTCCCCACCCCCTGAAAATTGTCCTGGGGTCCCTTTGCTACTCAGCTCCCACATAGGGATGGGGCCACCCTCTGTGGCTCCTAGCACCCCTGCTGTCTGTGCTAAGAGGGAGGAGCAGCCCACATGTGCCCCTTGCCACTGGCTAGGTGCTCAGGAAGCTGCAGCCTGGCTCAGCTGCTCTGCTCCTTTCTGGAGCCACCAACCTGTGTCCGCCACTTGGCTTCTCCTTAGCCACTTGGCAAATGTCCTCCCTGGCATCTGCCTGGAGACCACTCCTCTTCCCCTCCCCTCCAAGCCACCACCCACCCCTGGGAGCTGGAGGGGAATCTGGGCACCGAGGCAGTCTAAATGAATTCCACTGGGTTACTGGTGCTCTGACTTCAGGAGCTTTCCCCGGGCTCATGCCCTGCCAAGGCCCCAGTGTCCACCGGCCTGTGCCGTCTCCCTGCAGGTCCCAGGGGCAAGGGCGGCAAGAGGGCTGCCCAGAACCCCATCACAAGGCCCAGCCTTTCGAGGAGGGAAGATGTCAACTTCTTTCGGATGTGCCCACTGTCTCTGCAATGACCGGGTGCTCACCGCCACTGGGGCTAAGGAGATGGAAGGCTCATGGCTACAGGCAGCAAGTGCGGCAAGCCCGGAGCGGCCCAGTGCAGCCCAGCCCTGCCTCCCCCAGGTAGGCTTGACTGTGCTCTCCTGCCCCTCTCAAAAGCTGTGCCAAGGCTGCCTTCCCTTGTGCCTGGCCCCAGGATCACATTACAGGCTTTTTTGTTCTTATTCCAACGGCCCCCTCCCGGCTGTGCTGTGCGAAGTTGCCTGCACTCTCTTAGGTGTGCCTTAGGCGTCTTTGAGTAAAGTGCCATTCCATTCGCCGGGGCTGATGGAAATCAAAACCCTCACCCAGAGGTCTGCGACACCCCAAAGTATGTCCAATAGTCTTGGGGGGGAAGGGGCAGCAAATTACAGCATGAAATCGCTTGGATTAAAAACAGCGTTGGGAGTGGGGTGGGGAACATGGTGAAGAGGTTTGCGGGTCACCAGAATCCAGCACACCAGGGTTGGGGGGGCATGTAACTGAAGAGACCCTCCCTTAATAAGTCCAAGTCCACATGCCTCATCTGTAATTTCAAGGCCAAAAAGCTTTGAAAGCCTATTTTATCTTTTGTAAATTCGGTGCCAAAATTTACTTGGGAGTAAAACGTGACCTGGACCTAAATACTCATATTTCTCTGTAAAAATAATAAAATGCTGCTCCAGATTCCACCAGAAGGTTGTATGATATTGGGTATATGCACCTTATCTAAAGTCCCAAATGTTCTGGATTTGGAAACACACACGTCTGATCCCAGGGATTTCAGATGCAGGACTGGGAGCCGGCATTAACCCTGACTGAGCTCGTGGTGTGTGCTGGTGACCGGATTTGAAGCCCAGTTCTGTCTGCCTCCAGTGCCCTTGCTCACACTGCCGCACTGAACTGCCGCCCTGACAGATGGCATTTGCCTTTTACCTTCAGTACAAGCCAGTGGTTCACTGAATTGGATTGTTCACTTAAGCGGTGAAGTGAAATTCCCCAAGCGGACACACACTAGTCTGCAAACAAGAATGGCCTTCTGCAGACAGCTGGACTTGTCATTTCTTCTTACTCCAGAGTTGGTTTCTCATCTTACATTTAGAAACTACTCCTTAAAAAAGCTAAGATCTGGATTACAAGGGAAGATGAGTCCCTCTGCGGTAAACACTATCCATAATCCATGGAAGTGCAGTGAGCTATCGACACCATGTAGGAAGTAATGTGTGTTCTGAGGCCCAGCTTGGCCATCAGTAAAACGCGACAAGTTCACCCCACTGGAAGCCAGAAACACGTACTTCTGTTCTTCTTTTCTTTACCCTGGAAGAGTGACCAGGGCTGAGCTCTCAGACTTTAAAGCAAACGGGGGAAGGCCACAGTGGAGCACAGCCAAGGCGCAGTGGAGCTGCTGATGTGCCCAGCGTGGAGGCCTGCTCAGGGTGCTTTGGCCAGAAGAATGCCATGGACAGAATAGGGAAAGCAATCCCAGCAAGCCAGGCAACGATGCCTCTCTTCCTGCTGGCCGGGCAGGGTGGGGCCCACAAGATGGAGAGCCCACCAAGCTGGGAGGCCCCCCGCCAACCTTCCATCAGCCTCATGGCCGGCATGGGGTGTGGAGACAGACTCATCCCGTCCTGGCACAGCACCGGTTTTGAAAGCCACATCTTAGCCCCCAGAAAACAGACTGAGGTAAGAGTCACAGAGACAGCAAACCTGCGTAGGCAGGTACTTTGTGCCAGGCCCTGTTTGAAGTGCTTTAGATGTATTAACGCATTTAATCCTTGAACAACCTGGCATCACCCCCATTTTGCAGAAAAGGCAATAGTTAGGGGGTTATGACAGGAAGGGAAGGCTCCAGAGGCAGTGCCCCATGCGTGGGGTTACCAGTGTAGGCTCTGTAGCCAGATTCCCTGCTCTGGCCATGACTTGCTGTGTGATTATGGGCAAGAGTGGTGACTTCTCTGTGCCTCAGCCTTCTCAGCTTTGAAGGGAATGATAACAGCCCCTACCTCTGAGGATTAAAATGAGCAGAGGCTGGTGAAGTACCGGGTTGCATGTCTGGCCTGTGAGCACTGGCCCACACAAGCAGGGAAGGCAGCTCTCCCAGCAGCAGTGGCACCCTCTTTGGGGAGACCAGCCTCTCGCCTCTGCTGGCAGAAGTCGTCTGAGCCCTTCTCAGCGTCTAGGAACCTGGAGGCTTGGTCTTTCTCCTGAACACTTGCTCCAATCCCGCCTAGGTAATCTGTTGGGTGTGATTTTCACGACCCCAATCATTAAGAAGCCGGCTGACGCAGCTCTGAGGCAACACAGTCAGGCTACAAATGCACCCCATTGAAGACACACACAGAAAAACAAAAAGGCTCACAATGTTAGATGGTGACACGTCTCCAAGCTGAGGATCTTGCCTGCTATGGTAAGAGTTCCAGTGCTGATGCTGGCGCTCCGCCACGCCAGCCGCGGAAGTCCATGAAAACAGATGGCAACAGGCCTATAACAAGATCAAACCAAAGTGCTCCTGAACTGCGGACAAGGGCCTGTGGCTCACCCTGGCCCCCCCCACGGGAGGACCAGCCCCTCATGTGGGGCACTCTGCTTGCTTATGCTTCATGACACAGCCTCTCTCCTCCATGGGCTGCCTCAGTCACGCTCATCCAGGGCCCTGGGAGAAGAGGTCAGCCCCGGCTGACGGGTGCTTCCCTCCAGCCAGGCCCCTGGCCAAGCTCTTTACGGCCATCTCCTTGGCGGAGTGGGAGATGGCAATACTGAGGGCAGTCAGGCGAAAGCTTCCTGGAGGGCATGGTACCTGAGCATTAGGAGCTGTGAGTGGGATGCGAGAGAAAAGTTTGAAGGGGAGGCTTGGCACAGGAAACAGCAGGAGTTAAGGCTGAGAGCGCAGAGTGGACGAGGCACTGCAAGCACTTTAGGACCTGATAGGTGCTGCGTCTGAGGAGGTAGGTTGAGCCAGGGTATGGGCCTCTGGAAATTTCTGAGCAGCTGTGAAACAGGATCAGGTCTCTGTTATAGCAAGGTAATGCTTACAGTGATGGATGGTTTATTGGGTGAAACCAGTTTAACAGTTAATTGAATGAGTTCAGACAAAGACTCACGAGGGCCTGAACTTGGGCAGAGATGAACGGGAAGGAGGGACCATGACAGACAGTATTCCGGGCAGGCCGACTTCTGACATGGCCCCCAGGGGTCCCTGCCTCCTGGTAGTCACACCTTCATGCTCACATCTATTGAATGGAATATAGTGCAAGTGATGGGACATCACTCTCAGGACTAGATGATAAAGACTGTGACTTCTGACTTGCTGGTACTCCCCCTGCCTCTTTTGCTGGCATGTTCTCTCTTGCTCACTTGGGTGTGAAGCTGGCTGCCATGTTGTGAGATGCTGTGTGAAGAGGTCCACATGGCAAGACACCGAGGGAGGTCTCTGGCCAATAGCTCATGAGGAACTGAGGCCTCAGCCCAACAAGCTGTGAGGACCTGCTTTCTGCCAACCACCAGAGGGTGAGCTTGGAAGCAGGTCCTTCACAGTTGAACCCTGAAATGACTGCAGCCTTACGAGAAGCTCAGGGCCAGAAGGCACAGCTAAGCTGTGCCAGGCTTCCTAACCCACAGAAACCACGAGGTAATTTATGTGTGGTGTTTCCAGCAGATGTTTGGCACAATTCATCAAGTGACAAGAGCCAGCACAGGCAGGGGTTGGAGCAAGGAGAAGTGGGCACTGTGACCAATACCATCTAGGAAGGATCTGCTGAAGTTGGTGATCAATAAGACAGTGGGAGATGAGGGACAGGCCACAGTACTTTCGAGAAGAGCACAGGCTCTGGAGCAAGAACTGCTCTGCCCCTTGCTAACTGTGTGACTGTGGGCAAGTCATTTCAACTCTCTGAGCTCCTGCTTCTTCACTCATAAGATGGAGATGGCTTCAATATGCTTTTCCAGAGTCAAGCACAGCCTCAGAGAGAACTGTAGCCTGGATTTGCCTCCAAAGCCAGGAATGAATAGCAGGAGACCTGGTTCTCCATTTCCAAAACTGAGAAACGTAACCGGAGTTGGGATTGTCTTACCTGTCGGGGCAGAGAAGGCAAAGAATCCGAGGCCCCAGCTCGCTGCAGGCGCTGGGGCTGCTGCATCATCTGCTGCAGAAGGAGCGAAGGATGGTCAGGCGGCGGTGGTGGCAGCTGCAAGGTAGCCGTGGCGGTGGAGGAAGCCGTGGCAGAAGAGGCCTGCGTCTGTGTCGGCTGCTGCAGGTAGTGCAGCAGGGAAGGCTGCCGAGAGGCGGTGGGCAGCGGGGGCATCTTCTGGGGCCCCGGCTCAGAAATGAAATGTGACAAGGGCTTGGTGTTGCTGAAAGTGAATGGCTCTGTGGCTCTTGGGCTGGAGCTGGCCAGCCCCTGCTGCTGCATGATCATGCTGAGGGCTTTGGGGTCGCTGGTGGGTATGGGCTTGAAGAGGGCACTGGGCTGTGGTGGCTGGCCAAGCGGCTGTGTGGCAGGTGTGAGGCTGCGGGCCAGGGCGCACTGGGGTGTGAAGGACTGCTGCGGCAGGCCCGGGCTGGCCAGCTTCTCCGGCCGGTAGGGCGGGGAGGGCCCTGGGTTGCTGGCTGGCAGGGCGGCCATCAGGTGCCCCTGAGGGCTCTTCACGGCAGAGGACACCAGGTTGGCCAAGATGGAGCTCTGTGGGCTGAACGTCGGCTGCTGGCTGAGCGCTGGGCTGGGCAGCTTCTCGGGGCCATAAGGCAGCACGGGCCCGAGGACAGTACCGCTGGCTGCCACGCCCGAGAGCCCTGCGTTGGGGGAAGCCTGCAGGGTGCTACCCGGCAGGCTGCCAGATGACATGCAGGACACCATGAGGCTCTGAGGGCTGAAGGGCGGTGGCGGGTGTGGCGGCGATGGCACAGGGCGGTAAGGCGGGGACAGGCCAGGTGGACCAGACCAACACGGAGCGGGCCCGGGAGGCTTGGTGGCCGATCCCTGCTTGCTGGCTGCCAGCACCTTCAGCTGGTGGGCGTGGTGCCACTGAGGCACGGGAGGCAGAGGCAGTGTGGTGGGCATCAGGGCCTGGCCGTGGGTCTTGGCCTGCACTGTCGAAGAGCTGGGTGAGGCCATCTGCTTACTGGTGGCGGGAATCCTGTAGCTGAGCCCTGCGGAGGAGGGCGGGATTTGGAGAGACACACCGGTGACCTGGCTGCAACTAGAAGCAAACTCCTTGCCGGAACCAAGGCCCTCCAATTGTGGTATCTGAACCAAAGGCTTGGGAGTTGTGCCTAGGGTTGCCTGTGGATGATCCAAGACCAGGGGTTCTTCTGGCTTGCTCCCCAGTATCTTCTCAAGATCTAGGTCATTCAGAGAAGGTTCTTGAATTTTGGTTAGCTCGTCCAGCAGCTCCTGAAGTTCCTGGTCCACTGCCGGCACGCTGTTGGACTTGTCATAGTAAGGAACAGCGGGTCCTTTGAGGCCCATTTCCACAGTCGATGGCACCACAAAGGGTGAGCCCACTACGCTGCCGTTCATGGGATTATTTTCCAGCAGTAACGCAGGGCCAGCCACTCCCATAGCTGCAGGGCCAGGGTTCACTGTTAGATGAGGAACCTGCAGCTCCGCGCAGGCCAGACTGGGCTGGGCGCCTGCACCCACAGAGAGGGTGACGTCCTCAAGGCAAGGCCTCTTGATTTTATTAGGGTAACTCCCATCAGCCATGTCTGGAAACTGGAAGCTATCTCCTTCCTGTCTCCTCTTAATGGTTCCCTGTGGCTGAAAGAGGGGAGAGGAGTGAAAGAGAGAGAGAGAGAGAAAGAGAGAGGGATTTTTATAAAGGCTTGAATGAACAGGAAACTTGCAAGCCAAAACACATCTCTCCATTTCAAGACTTACAGTTGTCAAAACTACAATACAGCCTATTTTTGGAACCATAATGCTCATTTCTGTGTTGCTGTGTTTCATTTAAACTGTCTTGTTACATTTCAAATAAGGCATTGTGCTGTCTGTATACTAAACACCACAGAAACTCATGCAAAGGATCTTCTTTGCTGGCTTAACAGGGAGTTCAATGAAGCTATGCTGGAGCCACTACATGAACTCGGTTGCCAAAGGCAGCCATTTGAGAGCAAGCTAGGAGCAGCTAAGATATTTTCAATCCCTACTTGTCTACAGATACCCCCATTTTTAAAAAGGAAAAGTGCAATACAGACATTGAACTTTTTGGTTGCTTCCTGTCTTGGTTAAATGCATGAGGTTGTAGCGATAAAGAAGAACACAGCAGAGCCTTTAGAGGATGAAGTAGATGTGGGGGTGTCCTTGCAGCAGCTGCCTGAGGTACACTGTTCAGGGAAAAACACAAGCTGCAGAACATTCATTGGAACGTGGTTCCATTTATTTACACACACACACACACGCTGCAATGTGCACACAAAAATAACTTGGAAGGATGTATATGCCACCATTTGGAGTAGTCATCTCTTGGGGATGACTGGCAAGTCCCTTTTTATTCTCAACGTTTTTGTATTGCTTGTTTGCTTGTTTGTTTTTAATGACTTGTAATCCCAACCCCACCACCCCTACCCCCGGAAAAGTATAAAGCTATCTAAATAAGAAGTTCTTCTCTGCGGATGCATGAGGAAACTGGACGCAGATTTTCTGGCATTCAGGAGACCCTCACTAACTGGTAGCTGGCATTATAAAGGGCAGATCTGGAAGGGCCCAGGGAGTGCAGGGACTTAAAGACAGGGACCCTGAGACCCAGGGAAGGGGCAGGGCTGGCCCAGAGTTGCTCAGCTGGAGGGTGACAGGGCCCAGGCAGATGCAGGCCCTGCCCCCCCCCCCCGTGCCCACTCTGCTGCCTCTCAACCCACTGCCTTCATCCACCCCAAGGAGCGAGGGGACTTGCCTGGCTAAATAGCATGGCGCACGCAGGAGTAGGTTGTGGAGGGGTACAGCAGGCACAAGAAGAGGCCTATTCAGCTATGTGTGCCCACTCGCCCATGCAGGCCAGCTGACTATGCGTACAGGGAGCTCTGCCTCATGTTTCCCTGGCCATGCACTCAATCATGAGGCAGCTGACAAAGAAGTCATTGGGTCCCAAACTGAAACTGGGTCTCTTCTACATTCTCCCCAAGACTTCAAAGAAATCTGATATATTGAACATAGGGATGTATGAAATAGATCAATAAGGGATGATTGAGGGTGGGTCTTATGTACGACCCCCGCAAGGAAGTCTGAGCTGGCAATGGTTGGGCCCAATGGGCTGCAACACAAGATGGGTGATAGTGACGTCTACATAGGGCCAGGCAGGGGAAGAATGGGGTAGCTGCAACAGAAGGGAGGTAGGCAGGGACTGGAAACTGTGGAGGCCTGGAATCCCTGGCAGATTCTGAGGCTCAGAGCTTTCATTTAATTGTTGGTCTGCCATTACCTGTTGAGACTAAGGTGGCAGGAGGGGAAGATGGTACATGACCATGGGATGCTAGAGGTAGTACCAGGAAGCCCTGGCAAGGGGCAGGAGTCTCCCACTCTCTGAAGTAAGAGCAATGTGCACACAACTAACTCCCCAGGTACCTCACGACTGCATCCAAGCCAGTGTTCCCCACTCAGGTCCCAGTCTGGAACCTAACTGGCTCCTCAGTCCCAAAGCAGGTCCCAGGCTGCCCCTGTGGGGTGCTGAGGGCCACCACACAGCTGGTGGGTCCCATTTACGAGAGCAGGTGCTACCCTGGCTGGGCCAGGCCCACAGCTGGATGCCGACCTAAGAGCTGCCTAGGCAGGGGCCAGGCTGGCTTTGCTGGCCCTAGGAGGAGGGGTACTGGTCAAGGCTGCAGGTTCAGCAGGGAGCAGGCAGGCGCCTCTCATGAGCTTTCCTTTCTCAGTGGACTTGAGGGAGACTAACAGAGGCCGCAGCTCCATGGTTCTGATTATATGGTGAAAGCATTCGACAACTAGCCTCAAACACCCTGGCTGAGTGGCCAGAACCCCAGCCAAGCGTAAATGAGGTCGAGGGCTGGGCTTTTAGTGTGCCCAGGGCCACACTGGTACCTTTGCCAGGTCACCTGGGCCAGTGGGTACTGGGCTGATGTCTGCCTGCCTGGGGTGGGAGTTGTTGACTAAATGCCATGGTCACCATTTTAGATCAAATGCAGCAGATAGCTTGCTACCTGAATGACTTCCCTCTCGATGTCCTTCCTGTCGGGGGCAGCAGGTCCCCCACCGAGCTTCTAGACCCTCTCCAGCTTCACATATGTGCCATTTTCTAGTCTCTGTGGACTCCATGACAGCAGGGTCTTGGTCCCAGCTACCAGCCAGCCCCTCCTTCCTTCAGGCCATGTGTTACACACAGTCCCACCTACTGTGAGATTTTCTTTTTTACAACAGGCAAATCAAAAGACACTGGCATGATTTCTAGAGAGCTTATCTCAATCTTCTCTTTTCATAGAAAACAAAATGTGATGCAATTTGTTCGTGGTCACAGAACTAGTTAGGGGTAATGACCACCCTAGCCCCTGAGGGTCCCAACTCGCAGACTGAGTGTCACAGGCCCAGTCTTTGGTGCTGGAAGGGAGGGGAAGTGAGGGATAGTGCGCTGGCAGCTTTCATAAAGGAATGGTTTTATCTTCACCCACAAATGCCTGCAAAGTCCTATTTCATAACCAGGCAGACAAGGCCACCAATGTGATCCCCTTGACCTTATAAATATCATTAAAATGCATCTGAAAGCACGTGATGGCTTCCTCACCCTGCAAATAATGAGAAAACAAAGGCAACCCTTCTGACAGGGGCCAAGTTCAGCTGTGGAGTCAATATTATTTCTGGTTCTGTGTGAGCAATGACATATGGCAATTCTTCCCTTTCTACATTTTTAGTCCATAATGGCAGAAAGGGCAGAGATTTCTTGGAAAAGGTCTAGATTTTGAGAGTACAGTCCAGGCTCATAAAATGGACATAAGAAAAATAATGACTATTATATCTATTATATATACTCTTCCCAAAGAAATCTGGCAGGCTGTTTAAGCACTTAACTTTGGACATTCCAGCTGGAGGTGTAACACGAACATCAATGGGTACAGTTCCTCCTGGGAAAGAGTGCAGGAGGCCAAAGAAGAGCTCCAGGAGACGAGCTCAGGGGCCTCGCTCTCCCTCCAGAGGTCCCTGGCACATGAGCCCTGGGCAAGACCATCAAAAGGGTGGCACTGGCCTGGGGCTTATGAGCCTCCCCTTTCTCCTTGTCTACTGCCTCTCTCAGCTGGGCTCAGGCCAGTCCGCCTGCTGGTTCTCTCAGTCTCCCTCCACAAATACATCTGTACTCCATCAACTGTCTTCAGTGCTGGCCCACAGTGCCCCTGCGAGTTTCCAAGAACCAAGCTGACTCGATTGGACTTCAGGCCCTCTGAGACAAGGGTGGTCCCCAGTAGGCTTGCTGAGAAGAAAGGAAGGGAGTCATGGTGGAGGTAGCCCCAGAACAGATAAGCCTGTGATTCATCAGGATTGGCTTTGCAGGGAGAGAGGGAGGGAAGGAGGGAGAAAAGAAGAGAGAGAGGATATGTCTGGATATATATGTGGGACCAGATGACTGTAGCCCCAACAGTGGCCCTGGACCCATTTGGCAGGCCCAGCCTCCATACCACAAAGGCCCCACCAAGGCTGATGAGTTCATATTAGGTGGGGGGTGGGGAAGGGCACTTGTGCCCCTTCTCCTTGTCTGTGGGCTCCTGGTTCCATGTGCCTTCCTTTCACAAGTACCCCCATGTTGGCTGGGACTCTGGATAATCCAAGAGCTGGAAACAGTGTAATTGCCTAAATTTGGGCATGCGTGTCATTTGCATGTTTGTTTATCAGAAGAACACACCCACAAACTGAAACTGACCTGTAGAACAAAGAGGATTTTTGCATTTCCAAAGTTGCAAGATACAAGGCTCTGTGGACCCCCAGGGTAGCTGAGAATGGCTGGGAACTGTGAATGCTGACTGACTTCAAGAGGAGTCAGTGGGTCTCAGGAATGAATCTGTTAATAGGTGGTTTGGAGCAAGAATCTTGACCTACAATGGGGGATTTATTGGCGCCTCTGGTCTGCCGAGATGCAGAGACTGCATGCTCAGCGCCCAACACAGGCAAAGGCGGGCTGGGTGGAGGAAAGAGCCCTAGCCCTGGAGTAGGCGCCAAAGGACTAGCATTTAAGTCCTAGCTCTTCCATTTGCTGTGTGACCGTGCAAGTTAGTCCCCCTCTCTGAGCCTCAATCTCTTCTGTAAAGTGGGTACTCAGTCTGCCCTGCATGCCTCGCAGCATTGTTGAAGCGAGCGTATCGGGAGCAGTCATTGTTGCTGGTCTCATTCTCCAGGCCCTGGGTCCCCAGGCTGCCCCACTGCCCTCCACCACAGGCCTCGGCTTGCTCTCTGCCAAGTCAGGCCATGGCCACTGGGACTGTGGCATGGGATGGGAGCGGGGAGAGCCAAGCTACCTGGTCTGCCAGCCCTGGCCTGACAGCCCGCAGGGCCACCTTTACCATCTGCCACCCGCCGCTCTGGGGTCTGAGGGCTGGAGTAGGGCTGCCTGTGGAAGGAAGTGGCCCTGTCCCAGTCCCGATGGCCTACAAGCATCATCTGTGCTTCACTGGAACTAGGCTGATGAGCCCAGAATCATATAGATAAGGGGAAAAGTGGAGGCAGAGGTGAGGTTGGAGGCCACAGACCTGAGGCTGGAGGCCACCAGGGCCACTGGGCAGACCTGGGGTTCTATACAGGAAGAAGGCAGAGGGGCCCGGGCACGT